GATAGATAGATAGATAGATAGATAGATAGATAGATAGATAGATAGATAGATAGATAGATAGATAGATAGATAGATAGATAGAATAGATAGATAGATAGATAGATAGATAGATAGATAGATAGATAGATAGATAGATAGATAGATAGATAGATAGATAGATAGATAGATAGATAGATAGATAGATAGATAGATAGATAGATAGATAGATAGATAGATAGATAGATAGATAGATAGATAGATAGATAGATAGATAGATAGATAGATAGATAGATAGATAGATAGATAGATAGATAGATAGATAGATAGATAGATAGATAGATAGATAGATAGATAGATAGATAGATAGATAGATAGATAGATAGATAGATAGATAGATAGATAGATAGATAGATAGATAGATAGATAGATAGATAGATAGATAGATAGATAGATAGATAGATAGATAGATAGATAGATAGATAGATAGATAGATAGATAGATAGATAGATAGATAGATAGATAGATAGATAGATAGATAGATAGATAGATAGATAGATAGATAGATAGATAGATAGATAGATAGATAGATAGATAGATAGATAGATAGATAGATAGATAGATAGATAGATAGATAGATAGATAGATAGATAGGATAGATAGATAGATAGATAGATAGATAGATAGATAGATAGATAGATAGATAGATAGATAGATAGATAGATAGATAGATAGATAGATAGATAGATAGATAGATAGATAGATAGATAGATAGATAGATAGATAGATAGATAGATAGATAGATAGATAGATAGATAGATAGATAGATAGATAGATAGATAGATAGATAGATAGATAGATAGATAGATAGATAGATAGATAGATAGATAGATAGATAGATAGATAGATAGATAGATAGATAGATAGATAGATAGATAGATAGATAGATAGATAGATAGATAGATAGGTAATCATATTTTATTGTATTACATATTCCAGTGGCTATTTTTTACTGAATTTTTTTTTTCTTATTGTATTATTTTTTGTTTTCTTTTTTTATAAAATCTTATTGTATTATTTTTGATTGCTGTATTGTTTTCTTTAGGTATAATTTTAATTCTTAAAATTCAGTTGTTTTTTTCGCAAACAGCTTAATTTTAAATTGATAAAGCTTTTTCTTTTTTATCTATATTTATATATATATATACTTTTCATATATTTTTATTTTGCATTTTCAGTATTCAAATAAAAGATTTCGATTTAAGTGCATACTTATATTTCATTGCAGTAGTCAATACGATCTATAATCTTTGTTAATGACGAATGATTGAACTTTAGTAACATTCTTTATTGCAGCGGACAAAATATCCTTTTTTAATGTAATTGAATATTTCCCATCTTTTCTTACTCAAATTATCATTTCATTTTTTTTATAAATAATTTTGAACTCTAAATATCGAAGCTGAAAATCAAAATTTTATTAGGAACTGTAGTGATGTGCTTGTCAAGTGCTTATAAGTTTTTATGCTTCTATATAAATTCATATTAAATTTTCTTGTTGCGACAAAAACAAAAGCCTATTTAAACAAAAAAAGAATTTATTTTTTTAAATGAAATTTTATTTTCCGTCAAAACACGAATTCATTATTCAGTTAACCTTATGTTTCCTAAAATTTACCCATGGCAATCACGGAATGAATGGGAAGGAATAGAGTAAAATTGTTGGAATCTATCAAATTGTTTAAATGCAGCAAGTAAAATTTGCTTCTTTAATTTCTTCTATAAGCATTTATAGTTATGCAATCCTTTTTAATGATTGAATATGCTTGAGACAGCTATTATTTATTTTTTTATTAAAATATTTTTAGTGATATTTTGCTGTTCCCTTACTGTTTTGTTTACTTTAACAAATTAATTTTTGCTAAGTTTGTTTGGTATCAGTTTTCATTGCAATAATCTAATTTATTTAATATGTAATGGTTCAGTTTTGTACAAAAAAATTTATATTAGCTCAAATTTTTTAAATGAACTGACATAATAATTTGGTATAAGCTGAATAATATTTTTGTATAATTATTGATAGTTTCAGCTGTCATTTATGCATGTATTTTGAAGCAAACTTTTTTGTACTTTTAAAATGTGTTTAGAAAGTATCAATGATTCATTGCTAATACACAATGTACTGTTTTGGAATGAACCAAAAATTCAAAGTAACTTTATTCTTTTGAAAAATACATTTACATTTTTTATGAAAATTTGTTCACTGATGATTCCATTTACATTGTTGATAGCAGAAAATTGAAGAAAGGTGGAAAATTTTGGAAGAATGAAAAAAACACTTACATTTTGCTTTGATTTTATTAGATAGTTTAATTCGTAAATTTTAGAATAAACTTAAATATTTGCATATTTTCATAGCTAATCAATGTACTGGAGAAAATAATAATCATTTTGTTATCAAAAATACAAATGGCAAACTTCTTAGATCATAATTATCCTTTTTTAATGCGCTTAATAATTAGCTAATTTTGTACTTGCTAAATTTTACTATTTTAGAGTGATCTACACGATCTATAAAATGATTTATCCAGAAGTGAATATTTTGAAAATGGAAGCACATAAACCCATATGCAGACAGATGTAAGCTTAATATAATTACAAAGCTGAAGTCGGGTATTGCTAATTATCATTAAAACTGATTGGAATAAATCACATATTCCAGCACCGATCGAAATTCATATCTCATATATGAAGTTTGATCATTGCACCAAATTAATAAATTCTTTAATGTCATAACTCAAAAATGGAGAAGAAAGGAGAATAAAACATTAATAATTTAATTGTTTTAAGAATTTTATTTCTTTTATTTGAAGAAAAATAATAATAATAACTCAAAATGGAAAAAAATTGAGAATTCACTTTTTAAGAAAAAATTGCTTGAAAATAAACACCATACAAATGAAGTTAAATAATTTTTTTTTAACATTGAGCAAATAAAAAAGCATTAATTAGTCAGTCTGCTTAATAACTAATTATCAACACTGATCTAATACTGATCTGATCAATTATTACAAAAAGTTGTGAGCTGAAGTAAGAAGAGCCTTAATTCATCTTGAAAAAAAAAGTTGGACTAAATTAGAATGTGAGAAAAACTTTCAGGATTAATTTATTCACGATAATGTCACTGTCGTAAATCTCGAATATTCTGATTGATCAGCAGCTATGCTAACTTTTCAATATCTGAGGAGCAACAATAGTAAATGATTCAGCTGTATTACAGAGGTTAGAACTTAAGTTCATATTCTGAAGCATGAAAACAGTGTTTTTCATCAACTTGTACAAATAATCTAGCAATATAATTTTCTTAAAAACAAAAAAAAAAAGCAAACATCTGTTCAATTGTACACTTAATTCATTTATAAAGGCAGCAGCAATTTCTGAATCACCAAAAAGATGGATAATTTGTTTTTCTTGATCACTTGATCCTTCCATTTCAGGTGTTATTTCAATTAAGGTTTACTAGTTGTTAAACTTTTTTGAAAACTAATGGTTCATATCAGTTATTGGTAATGATGTTAATTTCGAATGAATATTGGTATCATCTTTAATTAAATTCTACAAGTTTAAATTCTTAGGATAGAAGGTAGTTTTAAGAGATTAAATTAAGAAGATTAGATACGAAACTACGAATCTTTTTTATTATGCTTTTTGTTTGAAGTTCCTAAATTAGAATAATAAGAAAAAATACTATTCCAACTCGGAATAACCTGTCGTTGCGTATCCATTATAAAAATGGAAGTAAAATTTTTGCTTTTTCCAGGAAGGAAAATGCACAAACTTCTAATATCGCTTGGCATATTAATTGCTCTTGCGATCCTTCCTTGTACATCACATTCAGATGATCATGTAACTTTTATAAACTTATTTCTACAAGAAAAATTTTTTTTTAAATTAAATCAAAAACCATGGCTGGCTTCCTATAGAGTATTGCAAGACTTTGTAGCAAATAAGCGATGAATAGGAAATTAGAGTATTAATTTGAAAAAGCACTTTCGTTTTTTCCAATTCAGCAGCTAAAATTGATTAGAAAAAAGTCATAACGAATTCCATCCAACAACTACAAATATTTAAACGAAAAAAGCACAGAATTCATTTATATTTTAATTTTTTAACTTTCATTTTCTTTAATCAGGATAAATTTGGCATTGATGTCAAGAAGTGCGGTGCAGGTAGTAGTGAATGTGATGTCGGGTACAAATATGACTCTGATGATGGTAATAAAGATGGATATGGCGCTGATAGCGGTGCCAGAAAAAGATATGATAACGATGATAGTGCAAGAGGCGATTATACTAAAGGAAAATTTGTTAAAACTGATGGCAGGTAAGTCATTTGATAAAGCCTATATTATCACTAGGGTTGTTTAATGAATCCTTTCATTGAAGATTATATACTATTTTATTTATATTTGATGTTTCTCTTAATCGATTTGTATATTAATTGTCTGCAAATTTGAAAAATAATGCGAATTAAAAGAGTTCATTTATTTTATTGTAAGAATTATTTGCAGAAGGAAGGAGTGCTTTTCTGCAGAAGCTTGCTACGATCAGCGTGAACCAGAGGCTTGGTGTATTTTAAATGAGAATCAATCATGGATGTAAATGCATTTTAATTGTTTTAAATCAGAATTTTCAATGCTTGTGACTAGAATTTCTCAGTAGTACTGAGAAAGTCCTTTTTCAGAGATAAAGGTTGCTTTTGCGACGCTAAGTTGCATTCATGCGTTATTGAAAGAAATAACAGTGGCAGGCTGGAATACTCGTATTGTACGCCTGAAAAAGGTTGGGAGTGTTCATACAATGACAGAAGCACACAAGACGGTGAAGGTGGTAGTGGTGGTGACGAGAGCGTACATAGCGATGAATATGATGCTGAAAGAGGATATGATGGTGATGATAGTGCAAGAAGTGATTACATGAAAAGAGAATTTATCAAGACTGATGGCAAGTAAGTCATTTGGCTTTCCTATTTTATCAGTAAGGCTGCTTATAAATCCTTTCATTGGCACTGTAATTTTAACTTATTAATGTTGCATTTGATGTGTATAAATTGCTATGCGTATAAATTGTCTCTGAAATTGAGAAATAATGCTAAACAGAAGAGTTCATTTCACTTTATTATGTGAATTACTTGCAGAAAGAAAAAGTGTTTTTCTGAAGAAGCTTGCTATGATCAACGTGAACCACAAGCATGGTGCATGTTGAATGTGAATCAATCATGGACGTATGGACATTTTAATTATCTTTGTGAAAATAGTTTTTCGATATACATTAGAATCTTCATTCTTTGTGTTTGTTTTCTATTTTCTTTTTCAGAGACAAGGGTTGCTTTTGCGATGCTAATTTGCATTCATGCGTTATCGAAAGAAAGAACAATGGTAGGCTGGAATACTCGTACTGTGTGCCTGAAGAGGGCTGGAAATGCTCATACACTGACAGAGGCGCAAACGTTGCTGAAGATGAAGATTCTATCGCAAGCGGTAATATTGTTAATGGCGGTGACAGGAGCACATATAGCGATGAAAGTAGTGCTAACGACGAAAATGACGGTGATGATGGTGCAGGAACTAGATATCATGTTGTTGGAAAAGATTATGTAAAAAGAAAATTTGTCGAAACTGATGGCAAGTAAGTCATATAGCTTTCCTATATTATTAATAAATCATTGATGAAGTGATACTGTCGCATTGACATACTGATGTTGCATTTGATGTGCATAAATTGCCATCATATAAATGAGTAATAATAAGAGAAAAAATTGCAGAAGAAAGGAGTGCTTTTCTGCAAAAGATTGCTACGACCAACGTGAACCGGAAGCTTGGTGCATATTGCAAAAGAATCAATCATGGACGTAAGCACATTTTAATTATTCTTATAGAAAATTGCTTTTAAATATACATAAGAATTTTCTTGGCTTGCTTAAGATTTCTCAATAGTACCGAAAAATTTCTTTCAGATACAGAGGTTGCTTTTGCGACTCTAAATTGCATTCATGCGTAATCGAAAGAAAAAACAGTGGCAGACTGGAATACTCGTATTGTGTACCTGAAGAAGGTTGGAAGTGTTCATACAGTGATGTCAGTGATGGTGGCAAATATAACGGTAATAACGGTGTCGGAAGCAGTGAAAGTCGCACCGAAAGCATATATCGCATTGAAAGTCGTGCTGGGGGACAACATCGCAGCGAAAGTGGTGCCGGAAGCGTATATCGTAGTGAAAGCCTTGGAAAACATCGCAGTGAAAGTTTTGCCGCAGAAGCACATCGCAGTGAAAGTAATGTTGGAAGCGTATATAGCAGTGAAAGTCGTGACAAAAACGTACATCGAATTGAAAGCCCTGCCGGAGGAGAACATCACAATAAAACTCGTGGTGGAAGCATATTTAGCATTAAAAGTCGTGCTGGAGGACAACATCGGAGCGAAAGTCGTGCCGGAAGCGTATATCGTAGTGAAAGTAATGTTGGAAGCGTATATAGCAGTGAAAGTCGTGACGAAAGCGTATATCGTAGTGAAAGTCGTGCCGGAAGCGTACATCGTAGTGAAAGTCGTGCTGGAGGAAAATATCGCAGTGAAAGTTTTGCTGCAGGAGCACAACGCAGTGAAAGTAATGTTGGAAGCGTATATAGCAGTGAAAGTCGTGACAAAAGCGTACATCGAATTGAAAGCCCTGCCGGAGGAGAACATCACAATAAAACTCGTGGTGGAAGCATATTTAGCATTAAAAGTCGTGCTGGAGGACAACATCGGAGCGAAAGTCGTGCCGGAAGCGTATATCGTAGTGAAAGTAATGTTGGAAGCGTATATAGCAGTGAAAGTCGTGACGAAAGCGTACATCGCATTGAAAGCCGTGCCGGAAGAGAACATCACAATAAAACTCGTGGTGGAAGCATATTTCACATTGTAAGCCGTGCCGGAGGAGAACATCACAATAAAAGTCGTGGTGGAAGCATATTTAGCATTAAAAGTCGTGCTGGAGGACAAGATCGGAGCGAAAGTCGTGCCGGAAGCGTATATCGCAGTGAAAGTCGTGCCGGAAGCGTATATCGCAGTGAAAGTCGTGCCGGAAGCGTATATCGCAGTGAAAGTCGTGACGAAAGCGTACATCGCGGTGAAAGCCGTGCCGGAGGAGAACATCACAATAAAAGTCGTGGTGGAAGCATATTTAGCATTAAAAGTCGTGCTGGAGGACAAGATCGGAGCGAAAGTCGTGCCGGAAGCGTATATCGCAGTGAAAGTCGTGCCGGAAGCGTATATCGCAGTGAAAGTCGTGCCGGAAGCGTATATCGCAGTGAAAATCGTGACGAAAGCGTACAACGCGGTGAAAGCCGTGCCGGAGGAGAACATCACAATAAAACTCGTGGTGGAAGCATATTTAGCATTAAAAGTCGTGCTGGAGGACAACATCGGAGCGAAAGTCATGCCGGAAGCGTACATCGCAGTGAAAGTCGTGACGAAAGCGTACATCGAATTGAAAGTCGTGCCGGAAGCGTACATCGTAGTGAAAGTTTTGCCGCAGGAGCACATCGTAGTGAAAGTGGTGTTGGAGGCGTATATAGCAGTGAAAATCATACCGGTAGCATATATCGCAGTGAAAGCCGTGCTGGAAATACATATAACAGTGATAGTAGTGCCGGCGGAGAAAATAGCAGTAAAAATTATGTAGGAGAAAAATATGGCATTAAAAGCAGTACCGGACGTTATAGTAGTAATACAGCGGTAACAGAACAACATGACAATGGATGTGTTGGCGGAGAATGCAAAAAGAGCAGTGCCCTGCATCAGCATGACAGTGGTGTAGGAGGTGAATACGGTTGTAACAGTAGTGACGAGAGACAAACCGTTGAAAGTGATGCAGTTGGTGAATATAAAGATAATAGCAGTGTAGGAGACAAATATGGCGGTGATACCGGTGACATGAGCGCTTATAGCAATGAAAGTGGTGCCAAAGGAGAATTTAGTGCCAAGGTAGTGACAACAGATGAATATAGTAATGAAAGTAGTGTCGGAGGCACATATTACAATGAGAGTGGTGTCGTAAATGAATATGACGGTGGTGTAAGGAATGAATATAGCGGTAACAGCAGTATTCGAGACACATATGAAGGTGACGATGGTGACATAGCTGGATATGGCAATGAAAGTCGCACCGGAGGAGAATATGGTAGTGAAAGTCATGCCGGAAGAGAATATGGTCGTGAAAGTCGTGTCGAGGCAGAATATGGTCGTGAAAGTAGTGCCGGAGAAGAACATGGTAGTGAAAGTCATGCCGGAAGAGAATATGGTCGTGAAAGTGGTGTCGAGGCAGAATATGGTCGTGAAAGTAGTGCCGGAGAAGAACATGGTAGTGAAAGTAGTGCCGGAGAAGAACATGGTAGTGAAAGTCATGCCGGAAGAGAATATGGTCGTGAAAGTGGTGTCGAGGCAGAATATGGCAATGAAAGTCGCACCGGAGGAGAATATGGTAGTGAAAGTCATGCCGGAAGAGAATATGGTCGTGAAAGTCGTGTCCAGGCAGAATATGGCAATGAAAGTCGCACCGGAGGAGAATATGGTAGTGAAAGTCATACCGGAAGAGAATATGGTCGTGAAAGTCGTGTCGAGGCAGAATATGGCAATGAAAGTCGTATCGAGGCAGAATATGGTAGTGAAAGTCATGCCGAAAGAGAATATGGTCGTGAAAGTAGTGCCGGAGAAGAACATGGTAGTGAAAGTCATGCCGGAAGAGAATATGGTCGTGAAAGTCGTGTCGAGGCAGAATATGGCAATGAAAGTCGCACCGGAGGAGAATATGGTAGTGAAAGTCATGCCGGAAGAGAATATGGTCGTGAAAGTCGTGTCGAGGCAGAATATGGCAATGAAAGTCGTATCGAGGCAGAATATGGTAGTGAAAGTCATGCCGAAAGAGAATATGGTCGTGAAAGTAGTGCCGGAGAAGAACATGGTAGTGAAAGTCATGCCGGAAGAGAATATGGTCGTGAAAGTCATGCCGGAAGAGAATATGGTCGTGAAAGTGGTGTCGAGGCAGAATATGGCAATGAAAGTCGCACCGGAGGAGAACATGGTAGTGAAAGTCATGCCGAAAGAGAATATGGTCGTGAAAGTCGTGCCGGAGAAGAACATGGTAGTGAAAGTCATGCCGGAAGAGAATATGGTCGTGAAAGTCATGCCGGAAGAGAATATGGTCGTGAAAGTGGTGTCGAGGCAGAATATGGTCGTGAAAGTAGTGCCGGAGAAGAACATGGTAGTGAAAGTCATGCCGAAAGAGAATATGGTCGTGAAAGTGGTGTCGAGGCAGAATATGGTCGTGAAAGTAGTGCCGGAGAAGAACATGATAGTGAAAGTCATGCCGGAAGAGAATATGGTCGTGAAAGTCGTGTCGAGGCAGAATATGGCAATGAAAGTCGCACCGGAGGAGAATATGGTAGTGAAAGTCATGCCGAAAGAGAATATGGTCGTGAAAGTGGTGTCGAGGCAGAATATGGTCGTGAAAGTAGTGCCGGAGAAGAACATGGTAGTGAAAGTCGTGCCGAAGAGAATATGGTCGTGAAAGTCGTGCGGGAAGAACATGGTAGTGAAAGTCATGCCGGAAGAGAATATGGTAGTGAAAGTCATGCCGGAAGAGAATATGGTCGTGAAAGTCATGCCGGAAGAGAATATGGTCGTGAAAGTGGTGCCGGAGAAGAACATGGTAGTGAAAGTCATGCCGGAAGAGAATATGGTCGTGAAAGTCGTGCCGGAGGAGAATATGGTAGTGAAAGTCATGCCGGAAGAGAATATGGTCGTGAAAGTGGTGTCGAGGCAGAATATGGTCGTGAAAGTAGTGCCGGAGAAAATATGGTCGTGAAAGTGGTGTCGAGGCAGAATATGGTCGTGAAAGTGGTGTCGGAGAAGAACATGGTAGTGAAGTCGTGCCGAAAGAGAATATGGTCGTGAAAGTCGTGCCGGAGAAGAACATGGTAGTGAAAGTCATGCCGGAGGAGAATATGGTCGTGAAAGTCATGCCGGAAGAGAATATGGTCGTTGAAGTGGTGTCGAGGCAGAATATGGTCGTGAAAGTAGTGCCGGAGAAGAACATGGTAGTGAAGGTCATGCCGGAAGAGAATATGGTCGTGAAAGTGGTGTCGAGGCAGAATATGGTCGTGAAAGTAGTGCCGGAGAAGAACATGGTAGTGAAAGTCATGCCGGAAGAGAATATGGTCGTGAAAGTCGTGTCGAGGCAGAATATGGCAAATGAAAGTCGCACCGGAGGAGAATATGGTAGTGAAAGTCATGCCGGAAGAGAATATGGTCGTGAAAGTGGTGTCGAGGCAGAATATGGTCGTGAAAGTAGTGCCGGAGAAGAACATGGTAGTGAAAGTCGTGCCGAAAGAGAATATGGTCGTGAAAGTGGTGTCGAGGCAGAATATGGTCGTGAAAGTCATGCCGGAAGAGAATATGGTCGTGAAAGTCATGCCGGAAGAGAATATGGTCGTGAAAGTGGTGCCGGAGAAGAACATGGTAGTGAAAGTCATGCCGGAAGAGAATATGGTCGTGAAAGTCGTGTCGAGGCAGAATATGGCAATGAAAGTCGCACCGGAGGAGATATGGTAGTGAAAGTCATGCCGAAAGAGAATATGGTCGTGAAAGTGGTGTCGAGGCAGAATATGGTCGTGAAAGTAGTGCCGGAGAGAACATGGTAGTGAAGGTCATGCCGGAAGAGAATATGGTCGTGAAAGTGGTGTCGAGGCAGAATATGGCAATGAAAGTCGCACCGGAGGAGAACATGGTAGTGAAAGTCATGCTGAAAGAGAATATGGTCGTGAAAGTCGTGCCGGAGAAGAACATGGTAGTGAAAGTCGTGCCGAAAGAGAATATGGTCGTGAAAGTCGTGCCGGAGAAGAACATGGTAGTGAAAGTCATGCCGGAAGAGAATATGGTCGTGAAAGTGGTGTCGAGGCAGAATATGGTCGTGAAAGTAGTGCCGGAGAAGAACATGGTAGTGAAGGTCATGCCGGAAGAGAATATGGTCGTGAAAGTGGTGTCGAGGCAGAATATGGTCGTGAAAGTAGTGCCGGAGAAGAACATGATAGTGAAAGTCATGCCGGAAGAGAATATGGTCGTGAAAGTGGTGTCGAGCAGAATATGGTCGTGAAAGTAGTGCCGGAGAAGAACATGGTAGTGAAAGTCATGCCGAAAGAGAATATGGTCGTGAAAGTGGTGTCGAGGCAGAATATGGTCGTGAAAGTAGTGCCGGAGAAGAACATGGTAGTGAAAGTCGTGCCGAAAGAGAATATGGTCGTGAAAGTCGTGCCGGAGAAGAACATGGTTGTGAAAGTCATGCCGGAAGAGAATATGGTCGTGAAAGTCATGCCGGAAGAGAATATGGTCGTGAAAGTGGTGTCGAGGCAGAATATGGTCGTGAAAGTAGTGCCGGAGAAGAACATGGTAGTGAAAGTCATGCCGAAAGAGAATATGGTCGTGAAAGTGGTGTCGAGGCAGAATATGGTCGTGAAAGTAGTGCCGGAGAAGAACATGATAGTGAAAGTCATGCCGGAAGAGAATATGGTCGTGAAAGTCGTGTCGAGGCAGAATATGGCAATGAAAGTCGCACCGGAGGAGAATATGGTAGTGAAAGTCATGCCGAAAGAGAATATGGTCGTGAAAGTGGTGTCGAGGCAGAATATGGTCGTGAAAGTAGTGCCGGAGAAGAACATGATAGTGAAAGTCATTGCCGAAAGAGAATAATGGTCGTGAAAGTCGTGCCGCCGCAGAAGATGGTAGTCGAAAGTCATCGCCGGAAGAGAATATGGTCGTGAAAGTCATGCCGAAAGAGAATATGGTCGTGAAAGTCATGCGGAGAGAATATGGTCGTGAAAGTGGTGTCGAGAGCAGAATATGGTCGTGAAAGTAGTGCCGGAGAAGAACATGGAAAGTGAAGTCATGCCGGAAGAAGAATATGGTCGTGAAAGTGGTGTCGAGGCCAGAATATGGTCGTGGAAAGTAGTCGCCGGAGAGAACATGATAGTGAAAGTCATGCCGGAAGAGAATATGGTCGTGAAAGTCGTGTCGAGGCAGAATATGGCAATGAAAGTCGCACCGGAGGAGAATATGGTAGTGAAAGTGAAAGTCATGCCGAAAGAGAATATGGTCGTGAAAGTCGTGTCGAGGCAGAATATGGCAATGAAAGTCGACACCGGAGAAGAATATGGTAGTGAAAGTCATGCCGGAAGAGAATATGGTCGTGAAAGTGGTGTCGAGGCAGAAATATGGTCGTGAAAAGTAGTGCGCGGAGAAGAACATGGTAGTGAAAGTCATGCCGAAAAGAGAATATGGTCGTGAAAGTGGTGTCGAGGCAGAATATGGTCGTGAAAGTAGTAGTGCCGGAGAAGAACATGATAGTGAAAGTCATGCCGGAAGAGAATATGGTCGTGAAAGTCGTGTCGAGGCAGAAATATGGCAATGAAAGTCGCAACGGAGGAGAATATGG